TTAACCTGAAACAATAATAAAAACAATATATGGTACCTGCCTATATTTCTCTAACTCTTGTTTTGTACCTACCTATCAAAACTGAATATAATATTGTTATTTGAGTTGAAACCATCCTCAAGACACTTATTTTTATATATGTTACTGTGGTTAACACATTTCAATATTATTATACATTTGCCTTGAAAATGACAGTCACAGAAATAACATATACAGCTTATGGTCCAATCAGCTTCTCTAATGTGCATGGTATTTATTTTTAATGCGCTTCCCCTGATTGTATTTCTGGGTTGTTTGCCCTCTATTTCTCCCTTTTCTCCTTTTGAAAGTATGGAATTCATTGATTCAAACTTACTCTTGTTTTTTTCTGAGGCATCAATATACCATTTTCATGTTACTATCTGAAAATTTAACGTGTTTACCCTTAAGTTTTTCAATACTCAGAAAGGATTTATTACATAGATTATATGTTTATGTCACCAAGAGAGGGGTATATTAATGAGAACTATTTTCTCTCTTCCCCTACTAACCTTTCTGTGGCCCAAGCATAGCATACCTACCCCATCTGAGGCACAGAGTAGGAACAAGGAGTTTTCCAACCATCCTTGTTTAGTCAGCCCTCCCTAAGAAAGCAGGAATGACTCTCTGATTGGTGAACTGGGAAAACGTTTTGCGTATTCATGGTCCTTTAGGGTCCTCAACCAGCCATCATAAGCGAAGTTTACCATGGCAGTTTCAGTACTTAATAAATACAGTGAGGGCAGGGCACAAGGCTGAAATGCCAGTAATAAATTTAATTCAGTGGTGATGTCATTAGGAGCCAATTTGACTATACATACATGCTGAGTTTTCCAATTCAATTTAATGTATAACGAAGAAGACAATTTGATCTTCATCTTACTGACTGTTCAGTTAGGAAATTAATAAATTGGAGTGGAGGACATGGGTATAATTTTCAACTTTGCATATGAGTCTCTCTAAATAATTACTTATAAAATAAACAGATTTAGGTAATTCCAGCAAAATGCTTGAGTTATAACTATGCTTAGAGTGGCATAGTTTATATCACACATTCCTACTTTGTTGCTCAGACCTCAAATTAAAAGCTTTTTGAAATCTAGGCAGGTTCCATATAAATATTCCTCATTTAAAAACGTTAATTTGTACAGCACGTGATGCTTCTGATGAAGATACTTGCATTCTTTGTTAACACTTTTCGTCTACGCAGGGATGGGATATAGGCTTCATTCCACATGCCATTTTAATAGCTAATGATGATTAGAATTTAACAAAGATAACTAACAATTATTTAACAGTTACCATTAGGTACCGATGTGAGCCTAATGAACTAATTATCTCATTTAATCTTATCGCCAACTTTGTGGATAGTAACATTATCTATTTTATGCAAAACAGACAGGGAAATGGCATCCCTTGGATTCCAGTAGTAGAGCCTAACTCCAGAGCCTGCTCTGCCAAATACATATACTCTACTCTCTCCCACATGCGACGGCTGTAGCCACCTGAAGCTTCACAGCAGGTAATGCTACCTGCTCATCTAAGCACACATTTTCCAATTTTAGCCCAGGAATATGGGGAGAGAGGAGAGGGAAGGGAGGGGAGGGGAGGGGAGAGGGTAGCTGGAGGGAGGGTGATTGGTGGGATCATGCCTATGGTTCATCCTATAAGGGTACATGTGAATCTCTGTAAATGTAGAATATAAATGTCTTAACACAATAACTAAGAAAAAGACATGAAGGCTATGTTGACCAGTTGTATACAGAAACAGTACACTGTACCACATGATAGTATTAATGTACACTGCTATGATTTAATAAAAATAAATAAATAAACACACATTTTCAACTTAATCTTCAGCAGACCTCAAGTCTCTCTTACATATAGCCATATAATAGAAATTTAAGCCATGGAATATTACCAGGAGTGAGATTTGTTATTTCTACCCTGTGCCCATCAGAACCTTCTATGTTCCTTTCCCCTTTCAGCCAGCTAGAATGAAAATAACAAGCCTGAGAGCTGTATGTTGAAGATATTTGGAGTTCTGTTTAACACAAGGACAAAGGAGTTCATTTGAGAAGATAATGATGTAAGTGATTTACTAAAACATTTAAGTCATTTTGGATCCATGAAGTTTTTGATTAAACAGACATTTAACTAGTGCCCAGGATATTCCAGGTAGGCCTTGTAACTGTGTCTCTATAAAATAAAACATGTTCTTGAGATAGCATGGTCTAGCACAGTTTCTTAAACTGAGACCCATAGAAAACTCCTGAGAGTGTGACTTTTCTCTGAGCACTCCGACGTGTTTTATAAGCACATGTGGCTTTCTGTATTTGTGGGTTCCACATCTGTGGATTCAATCAGCCGTGGGTCAGCAATACTTGGAAAACTATTTGCATCTGTAGAGAACATGCACAGACTTTCCCCCTTGTCATAACTGCCTAAACATCTTTTATAGCAATTATTTACACAGTACTTACATTGTATCAGGTATTATGAGTAATCTAGAGATGATTTAAAGTATATGTGAGGATGTGCATAGGATTCAGGCAAATACCATGAGGCTTGATCATCTGTGTAGGTTGGTATCTGTGGGGAGTCCTGGAATCAATCCTCCAAGGATACTAAGGAATGACTGTATATTCTGAATCAATCGAATGACTGCCTTATCACTAACTACATAGCCATATCCTCTCAGTACCCATCTGAGTATTTGTATTTATCATTGTATTGGG